ATGCTCAAAAGCAACTACTTCCCGAATGCTTCATAAAATATTTAGCCCTCTTTTAATAGCAGCAAGTACCAGTAGTTTCAGATTTTCTTCGGGCGAAGCAAAACTTTGTATCGTCGCACGGAGATATGCATACTCGAACGATCAAGTTGTCTATGGCGTTTTCAAACCGCGTTCCCTTTGTTGACTCGATATGTGATAACTCGAAGGTTCTCCGACGGATGAACAACTTGACTCCAGCAAAACTTCCGCATCTTAAGGTCACTAAAAAGAACGTAGTAAATTCTGTCGCGAATAGGTCGCTTGACAAGATTATTCATACCTCATCGATAATATTCTGCCTCGGTCATTTGGAGCAGTGGGGCATATTAACACATATCTTGCAAGTAGCTAGCTTCGCTTCTTGTTCAATCTGAGCTACTACTGGTACTTGCTGCTATTAAAAGAGGGCTAAATATTTTATGAAGCATTCGGGAAGTAGTTGCTTTTGAGCATATCGTTTTGAACGAACGTTCGTTCGCAAAACTTTAAAAACCTGAGCAAGGCACTAACATATAAATAATATAATTTAATATAAAGCGATGCAAATGTCGCTTTGATGTACTGTACACGTATCATTCATTTCCCGGTACCGGTAATAGAAAATTACAATTTCGTAAATTGACGAGGTCGGCGATATCATTTTTATTTTGTGTATTATACAACAATTTCTTAGACATTTCCTATGAACAAGGATTGTTTTTAACGAATATTGCGATTTCCATTAGTTAGTCGATGCAGCAAGCCATGATGTCAAGTCCACTGAACATGAACGGTGACACCTAGCGAGGGAAGACTAGGTAATGGAAAATGCGTTTTTGGTGTTGATGATGTAATTCATACATGTTTTCGTTGATGCAGTAAGCTGTCCAGCAGTGATTTCTCATCTCTTTCCTAGATGCTTGTTCCTTCATGTTGTTGATTTTCTCCTCCACTTTCTTGTAGTGTCCCCTTTTTGCCTGCAACTACCTCCATTTTGAGATGAATAAATGCTTTGGCATGATCTTCGTGGCTGCATTATAGCTCCTAGCTCCCCCTCTGTCCACGAGTCAATTTTACTTGTTGGTTTACAAAATCGTGCATTGAGATTCGTCGCTCTCCTCCAGCAGACCAGAATCGCGCTCGATCTCCTTAATTAGATAAGTAAACACCTCATCTACACAGGAAAACATGACGTATGATCAGTACAAACTCGCTATGAACCCAGTCCGCTGACGCCAACGTACTGATGTTCTCGTTGTCTTTTGCCGAGCATTCCACAAAGGGGCATTCCCAGTTGCTTGCCAGTGTCCGGCCCTCTTCTACTGTCACCTCTCTGCATTACACAATACCCGTATCATCAGCCTATTACTCCCCGGTGGCAATTACTACGGCACTTACCTGGCCTTCTCTAGATCTGACATGCTGCCCACCAGCACGCGCGGCGGCTTGGAGCCCAGCATGTTAACTAGCTTCTCGTTGATGAGTTTGAGCTTCTCGAACGACGTGCGCGAGCCGATCGAGTATACAAGAACGTAGCCATGTACGCCCACCGACGCTGCCTGCGAGAAGTTGGCGTACTCGTCCTACAATTCCCCAGAATGCGTTAGGTTTAGAGTCCCTATAGCTCTCGGTGCAGTCCGTACCATGCCTGCGGTGTCCACAATGTCCGTGACGAAGTGCGCATTGCGCACACGGATTGTCTTGTGGAAAGTATTCTCGATGGTCGGGTCGTAGTTCTCCACGAAGCGGTTCTCCACGAAGCACGTGGTGAGCGACGACTTGCCCACGCCCGGGTAGCCCAGCACTGTCAGTTTGCGCTGCACCTCGACTGGCATCCTGCTGCGTCTTTTGCTATTCTCGCTCTGGCACTAGCCAGCGACTCGGCGGGTGAGACACCGGACACCAGGACTTGAATCGCCGGCTGCTGCGGATTTGCAGGGGAGGTACGAACAACTAAAATACTATAATATTCTATAAAAAATATTTACTTTAATAAAATGTAAAAAATCTTTGGCATCGACCGATTACAAAAATACTATTTTATTCTAAAAATATGTACTTTAATATTTTAAAAATAAATTAAAAATGGAGGAGTAAATTTTGTGTTTACTCCGGTGCGCATGCCGTTTTTCGGTACATTGGGTCCCAAATGGACTAGCAACAGTTGGAATTCTGCAGGAGTTGAGACGAGAAGAATGAAGAAGATTGTAGATGCTCGTGCAGAGGACAACTAACGTAAGGAAGCGCCAACTTCCAAGGCGACAACGCACAAAACGACGGTCAAGGA